GCTGGGTTATATTCTGGCTTGCTGGCTCATGTTCCAGAAACTACTGCAATGCCTGATAACATAGTTGTCACTCAATAATGCTCTGGCTATGGTTTTCTCTCCCATAAAATAGAAATAATGACATCCATCTTGTAGGGTCGCCGTGCAAGGAAGCAAAGCATGTCAAAGTGCTTTGCCTGGTTGAGCAGAGGGTCGTGGTGACGCATGCCTGTGACCGCAGCACTTGGGAGGCTGAGGCAGCAGTACTGCCACAAGTTCAAGGCCAGCCTGAACTACATAGCGAGATCCTTTCTCAACCCTACCCCCAGAAAGTGCTTTTCCTGGTTGCTAGCACCCAGAGAGGGAGCTAATACTGCAAGCTATTATTGTGATAGTGTGGAAACTGGGATGGATCCAAGCGTGCTTTGCATGTGGGCAGTGGTCCCTAAGCAGGGATTAATGGTGAGTGGACCCAGGGCTTTCTCACTGAGCTACATTCTAGCCATTATTATTATTATTATTATTATTAATCTCAAGACAGGGTCTCATTAAGTTGCTAAATTGCTCAAACTGGGCTCAAACTTGAGATCTTCCTGACTCAGCCTGCCAGGGTGCTGGGATTATGGGTATTCACCACTGTGCCCATGTGCTGCCCAAATTCCAATCTTCCCAAGTGAGCCAGGAATACTAATCACCATTTTAACTCCTTCAGAAAGCTTCTTATAGACACTTGCCTAACTAGGCAGAGGATGATGTGCCATACTAACAGCCACCAATGTGGATCGAGTGCTTACTTTGGGCCAAGCAGGCACCATTTTAAGGGATTTACATGAACTAAGTTTTCTTTCTTTCTTCCTTCCTTCCTTCATTTTTTTTTTTGGTACCGGGGTTCGAACTCAGGACCTTGTGCTTGTGAGGCAGGTGCCAGAACCACTGAGCTAAATCCCCGGCTCTCCTTCCTTCCTTCCTTTTGAGACAGGGTTTTGCTATGTAGTTCAGGCTCGCTTGAACTCACTATGTAGCCCAACCTGGCTTCAAACTCATGAATCTCCTGCCTCAGCCTCCTGAGTGCTGGGATCATAGGCATGTGCCACCACACCCAGCTACACGAAATATTTTGAGGAGTCCTGGAAATAACTCTATGAGGTAGATTTTTGACTTATGAGGAAAGAGAGGTTAAGTGATTTACTATAAATTCATTCAAATGGGATTAAGTCCAGCAAAGCTAATTTTTGGGGGGGGCAGTATGGAGATGGAACCCAGGGATATTGTACCACTGAGCTACCCCTCTAGCCCTTTTTATTTTGAGATGAGGTCTCACAAATTCCCTGGGCTGACCTTGAATTTAGGGTCCTTCCGTCTCAGCCTTCCAAGTAGGTTATAGGCATAAAGTTAATATATATATATTTTTTTGAGACAAGGTCTTGCTTTATATTCAAACTGACCTCGAACTCATGGAGATCCTCCTGCCTCAGCCTCCCAGGTTCTGGGATTACAGGCATGCACCACCACATCCAGTCCTAAAATTAATATTCTTTTTTAATTAATAAACTGTATTTTTAGAGCAGCTTTGGGATCAGAGCAAAATTGAGCAGAAAGGACCAAGTTAACATTGACTTCCCATCTTCATATAAGCATAACTATTTTCTACTATGTACATCCTGCAAATGTGCAGTGGTACATAAAATTAATATTCTTTTTTTTTTTTTTGGTACCGGGGATCGAACTCAGGTCCTTGTGCTTGCACAGCAGGTGACGAAACCACTGAGCTAAATCCCCAGCCCCAAATTAATATTCTTAAACATTCTACAAGAATGTAAACATTCTGGACTCTGTGGGGAGGTCCTTTCCAACCTTTTGTTGAAAAGGGAAATACTGGAGTCCACCTCTGTGTCCATCAATAAGGGAATGGCACATAACACACACATCCCCACAGTGAAACACTACATATTCAGGAAAAAGCAGGAGGCAGGTAAGTGTGCATATAGCATGACATGATGGCTACCGTGCATTGGTTGATGGGGAAAACAGCAGAACGATACGTATTGTATAATTCCGTGTGTATTGAAAAATCAAGCTTTTAAAAATCCGTTTGGGGCTGGGGATTTTTAGCTCAATGGTTCCACCGACTGCTTCGCAAGCCCAAGGACCTGAGTTTGATCCCCGGCACCAAAAAAAAAAAAAAAAAAAAGTAAAAATCCATTTGCCTGTTTTCTGATCATAGAGAACTGTGGAAGGGTAAGCCCTGAGCAGTTCACAGTGACCATTGAGAGGCGTGCAGGAGGGGAGCTCCATTTCTTGCTTTCAGAGTTTCTGTTGTTTGAAAAGTACCAGCAGCACGTCTCATTTTGTAATTCACAGAAGAGGGAAGGAGGGAAGTGGGCAGGAGGATTGGCAGCCTGAAGACCCCTGCTCCAGTGCTGCCTTCTCTTTAGAGGCCTCCCTGATGTCCCCCGTTTGTCCCATAGGCAGCTCAACTCAACTTCTCTTTCGGCCACTCTGGTCTCTGAAGACCTTCCTGGTGGGCTCTCTTTTCTGGGCTTCAGCAATTGCTCAGGCTCCCTGTTAGAAGGCCAAGGGTCCTACCCTTGTGGTTGCTCCTGAGGGGCTGAGACAAGGTGACATCACAGGCCTGTGGCATCACAGTTAGGCCTATGATGTCACAGGAGATGGAAGCCAGCAGGACAGGATCTAGGAGATCCTGGGCACAGGAAGAGGCTGTTTGGTGTGGGAACTTGAAGACTGGAAGGACATTTCCTAGCCGAGCAGGGGACTTTCAGGATTGAGAGCTAGAAGTTCCTATAGACATTTCTCTTTTTGTTTTCCAAGCAAATGTAATAGTAACTTTTCTGAGTATTGGGGGCTGTGACCCCAGGAAGGGGTGGAGTTGCCAGATGGAAACCAAAGATGTGTGGATCCCCTTGGAGGTGTGGGTACCAGTGAGCCCCGCTCCCCCGTGATCCCCAGCAAGGCTTGCTGGGAGCCTGGGAGGTCTCTAGCTTTTGGGAGTGGAATTTTGGTGAACCCAGACTGTAAGGGGGTCATGGGAATAGCTCCTCCATTAATTGGAAGGATATGAGGGAGTCCCTAGGGGTGAGGGATGGGGAAGGCTAAGAGGGTTGTCTGGGTATTGGTAATGGGGCCTCAGAAGAAAGGCTGTGAGAAGCAGACATGAGGGTGTGGGTGTGGTAACAAAGGACGCTGGCATTGTCAAGAGATGGCAGAGTCTGGGGTTTGGCCCTAGAGACCTCTGGGATACTTGCTGTGTGGCTCTGGGTAAGTGGCTCACTCTCCGAGCTCCTGTTGATCATGGGAATAATAAAACCAACTATAGGGCTGGGGATTTAGCTCAGTGGGCTAGTTGTTGTGTCCTTCTTGCCCTCTTGGGGCCTCAGCTCTCTATTGAATTTGAGGATAGAATTTCTCAGGATCAGAGATCTGTAATGGGACGAGGAGGAGGAAGTTGGGTTTGCTGTGTCCTGGGCCTCTGCTCTGTGAGACCAGCTTCCTCTCTGTTCTGCATCTCACCCCCAGCCTCCTATGTTGCCTGTTTCTGCCCTGGCCTATGACAGTCTCTGCCTCTTCTGTCACCATCTCTGTCTGCTCCTGACCTGACCATTGCCATCACTGTCTCCCCTGTCATCATCACTGCCTGTTGCTATCTCAGCTTGACCCTCATCCTCAGAGCCCCAACTCCAGCCTTTGAACCCTGCTATGTCCCTCTCCAGCTCAGACATCTGGGTTCTCTGAGAACAGATAACACCCTACCACCCTGAGGCATGTGTGCGTGCACACACACACACACACACACACACACACACACACTGAGGTGCCATAACTCAGTTCACCAGTCTAACCCCAGAAATTCATCCTGTAGAGTTGCTACAGGAAGGTAAAAGATGAGTGGAGGGCTCCCCCTTGTCAGGTCTCACCCAGCCCCCAGGCCTGCCTGACTGCCCTCCTCTTCCTATTTGAAGCAGCTTCAAACATCGCACCTTCCTGTCATCTCTCACACCACTGGGGCCTCAGTCACAGGCAGCTGCTGTCCTCCTGCCCACCTCCTTCCTTCCTCAGCCAAGAGGACCGCCGCAGAGCCAGATGCAGAGACACACAGGTCACCTTTGGGCTCACAGTACTTGAGACCTGAGGTAGGCTTGGGGAGGAGTCATCAAAGAGGGAAAGGAAAAGGGGCTTTGGAGGGCTGAGGCACTGGCGTGAGGGTTTTAGGATCTGGGGCATTTGAGGTTAAGGATGAGGAGGGTGGTCAGGAAGAGGGGGTGTCTTGGGCATTTGTTGAGCTGAGGTGGTCCTTCAGCTGTGTGGCCTCAAATGAAAGATGGCAAAGAAGCCAGGTGCTGACTGAGCAGATAGCTGAGCATTCAGGATGTCTGTTGGGGCCAGGGGATCCCTGGGGACTCTCAGCTCACTCAGACTTCCTCTCTGGCCAGGGAGTGGGCCCTGGGGCAGTGTGGGTGACAGGACACTGAGGTCACTTCAGTGTCCTGGAAAAGCAGTCTGGATGAGCTTGGATGGTACAGGCTCGCTGGAAACATGGACCCCACTCCATACAGAAAGGATGGCTCCTCAATTCTCTGTGGCCCTGAAGAAACTGCATGTTCCCTGGCAACCTCCAGCTGGTTTGCCACCTGGCTCTGTAGCAGTGCTAGTGGCTGGGGAAGGAGGGCAGTGGGCAGGTGGGCAGCAGCTGCCTGTGGGTGACGTCTCAGTGGTTGTGAGAGGTGACAGGCGGGTCCTTCCTCTCTCAGGCCACCTCTGCCCATCTCTGCTTGATTAATTTTCATCTAATCCCCTTTCTATGCTTCCTAGAACAACACTGACTTCTAAATGTCAGAATTACAGGAGTCCTTACATATCAACCAGCCCAAACCTCCTTTTTGCAGATAGGGAAACTGAGGCGAGGAGTGAAATTTTGTGGGAGAGCCCTTCCTGGAAGCCAGGCTTGTAACTGAGAACCTTCACAGCTTCTCTGGACACTCATCTTCCCAGCAGGTACTGGGGGCATGAAGGGAAAACCAGCTGCACAACTGGGTTGTTGCCACAAGACCAAGGCACTGGGGGACTAGGGGGACTCCCGGACCCCCAGCCAGGACTTCTAGCTCTGCCAAGGTGACCAGGTAGGATGGGGCCCCAGGCTCACCATCCTGGTAAGAGGAGATGTTGGGGAATGTCTGAGTGGGCTAGATCCCCACTTCCCTGGTCCTAAGTACCTCCTGCCCCAGGCACATCACGGGGATAAGTCCTTGAGTTGCCAGAGACCTTGGCACCATGCTTCAGGGGCCCAGACCCTCTTGTGGGCTATAAGAAGGGGAAAGGCCATGCAGAAGGCTTGGCTGGATGGCCATGGCCTTGGGCTTTAGTGGGAGGGGACCAGGGCCATTTTGTGGAGTTTACAGTCCTGGGTGAGAATTTTCCCCAAATTCACCTTGGTTCCATTCAAAAAACACAGTAGATGGTCTGAAATACTCCAGGGACCAGGATGGTCAGGGATCAGGATGGAGTTGGGGTGGGAGGGAGAAGAGGACAGGTTCTAGGGGAAGGGGAGCACAGCCCTGTGTGATAAAGTCCTTGGGAAATAAACCTTTGGATGAGAGGAGAAATACTTGAGTGACAGCTATGGGGGAGGGGTTTACAGTGTCATAGTTTCTCCCCTTTGGAAACTAAACTAGGGGTGGGACAATCCAAGGGACCCACAAGTCCCAGGCCCCAGCCTGGAAGCCCTTTCCTTCTGGCCTCTAGCTCTCCTCAGCCTACAGGCCACTTCTGGACACAATGGATGCTCATGGCTCTTCTTGTGCCAGCTGGCCATGCTCCTCGATAAGGACACCAGCCAGGTCCTCCCTGCTGGCCTTCCCCCAGCGCCTGGACCTATACTTGTATGCTCTGTAGCTGGCAACCTTGGGCACAGCCCCACAAGGTCTCAGAGAGGACAAAGAGGACACTTCAACCATAAGTAAGCCCAGGGCATGGGCTGGACCTGCACCTTGGTGGAGGATTGGGGGAGACAGACACGAAGTTTCAGGATGCCAGGGAGGGGACTCAGGGTCACTGGTGAGGTCATTTTACTTTTACATCTTGGCCTGAAGTTTTCTGCAGGTACTGGGATCTTTTGCAAGAGGGTGACTGCTGAGCCAGAGGTGGGCAGTGGTTTTCTTCTGCATAGGAAGGGAGCAGGTGTAGCTGAAATTTCAGGGTGATGAAATCGGTGCATTGCTTGGTGCAAGTCAGGGAGTGGGGCCTAGAGTCCTGGTTCTGCTCGTTGTGTCCCTTCTAGTTCCAGGACTTTGGGCACATCCCTGGACACACCCACAAAAGTCAGCTGTCATTTATCCCTGCATTCTAGGTTTGTTATATTGTAGTGTATCATTTTCTTATGTGACCAAGACCTCCTGGAGAGATAAGGACTATCTTGTTTTGTCCTTGATTCTGGTATGCCAGCACAGAACACAGAGTGAAGCAGTTCAGTACTTCCAACTGAGTGAATAAATGAAGCTCCAACCTCACAATCTACTTTTAAATATTTTACCTTTTTTTTTTTCCAGGGTTGGGGATTGAACCCAGGGGTCCACACAGGCTAAGTGCTCTACCACTGAGCTATGCCCCTAGCCCTAGGACTTTGCTTTTTATTATGCCTAGCCTTAATGCTACCTCACTGCACTGGTGCTATCTCTCAATTTCCCCTGCTAGCTCTTCTTCTTACTTTCTAAATATTTTCAAGCCTCAAACTAAATCTAGAGCCCTCTCCTTCCCTCTTCCTCTTCTCATTTTCTCTTTTCTTCCCTTCTCCTCTCTTGTCTGCTTTCCTTCCTTTCTTCTTTTCCATTTCCTCCCCTCACATCTTCTCTTCCCCTGTTCTCTGTCCTTTCTTTCGGCCCCTCTACTGTTCACTTCATCTTAGAATAGGACTGTTTGACTGAACTTCTCCCAACACTGGGGACCTTCTATACCTGAGCTGGCCAATACCATAACCTACTGAACACTTAAATGTAGCTAATGCAACTGAAGAAGTGGATTTTTAATTAAACATTTTGTTGTTGTTTGCTTGTTTCAGATAGGGTCTGGCTCTGCAGTTCAAGCTGGCCTTGAACTCGTGGTGATACTCCTTCCTGAGTGTTGGGATTATAGGTATACACCACTGTGTCCAGTTTACTTATTTTTAATGTAAATCTAGTCACATGTGTACAGCAGCTGCTACTTTGGACACATAAGATCTAGTGTCACCCTATGTGATCTCATCTGGGCCCAAGGAACCCAAATTTAGTTAGTTAGTTGTTAGTTCAAGACAGGGTCTCCCTATGTAGCTCAGGCTGGCCTTGAACTCACAGCAATTCTCCTGCCTCAGCCCCCTGAGTGCTGGGATTACACATGTGTGCACCACCATGCCTGGCTGGTGCCCAAATTTATGTATCCAGCTCAGACCTCTCCTTCAAGCTCCAAACCAATTTATCCGACTGTCCACTTGACTTCTCCACTGGGACGTCTAATAGGCTTATTGAACTGTTTTCTCTCCTTGAAACTGCCCGGAACTACAGAAAAGCTAGCAGCTTTTATTGGCAAGTGCAATAGCAGTGGGGCGACAGAAGCCCAGCAAGGGAGGCACCTTGCCCAAGCTGCCCCCAAGCCTGCAGGCTGGAGTTCTTTCCCAGGCAGGTTGGACGAAGAACAGACCTCTACCCAGGGCCGTGGGGACCTGACCTTATTCCCTTTCCCGCTTAGAGCACTGGGCCCCAGGGCTGCACACCAGCTCCACTGATGATGAAAAGCTCACAGCCGAGTATCCACTAAGCAAGGACAAGATGGAAAGCCAGCCTGAAACAGCTGGCCACGGGGCCCCCTGTCCATCCCTGACTCCTGGAAACAGCTCCACTCCAACCTCCCAGCTGAACAGAAAGAGCCTTAGCCCCTCAGCATTCTGCCCCAGCCCTCCTGTCCCCATCTCCAAGGAGCTCCCATTCCACTTCCTCCCCTTCTACCCCAGGTACCCGCTTCTCCTGCCTCTGCCTTACCTGTTCTCCTATGGGGCCCTACCTTCTGTCCAGTGTCCCCACCTCTTCATACTGCCCCAAGACATTACCTACCCCACCATGGCTGCACCCAGCTTGCTGATGACAGCCGATGAGCCTGGGCACCACAGTGTTCCAGGGCAGACCCTGCTTTGCAACCCTGGGCCCTTCCAAGCCTCTGGCCATGCCATGCCCTCCCGGACCCAGGATCCATCCTTGGGAATGGAGTGGGCTGGCATGACAGCTCCAGGGAAGCGGGCCTCAATGGGATCCCGGGCAGGCACCTCGGCCCTCCCCTACCCTCTGAAGAAAGAAAACGGCAAAATCCTGTATGAGTGCAACATGTGCAGCAAGAGCTTTGGACAGTTCTCCAACCTTAAGGTATCTGCCTCCTGGCTCTGGTGGCCCCTCTGTCTTTCAGTGACCCCCTTCCCTGCCGGTAGTTTCCAGAATCAAGATTTGAGAGTTGGAATGGTCTCCCGGGCAGCCTCTAGCTTGAGTGACCTTGAACAGTTCATCTGGCAGAGATACAGGATAAGAGGGCACCATCGAAGTCCTCTCCGCCCTAGAGAGATTGTCTATGAAAGCAACTCATTTAAGTTAAACATAGGGAAACTGAGGCTCGTAGTGGGCAGGGTTTTCCCAGGGTTCTGTCATTTAATCGTGAGGGTAGGCTTGGATTTCAATTTCTCAACATTTAATGCAAAGCTCTTTCTCAGACAACCACAAAGCTCTTTCCCAGTTAGGTCTCTTTATTTTGCTGAAGGTCAAATGGTGGAATGGGTAGATTTTGGTGAATCTAGACCACAGATCAGACACAAACCTCTTTCAAGAATGATCCCACAAATCAGCCCGGGCAGTGTTGGCGTTATCACCTGTATCATCCAGCAGGGGGAGCGCGTGGTCGAACCGCTCTGTTAGCGAAAATTGGCCCCCACCAAAATTCAAAAAAAGTTATAGCTACTGGTTTCTCAAGGGCAGGAGTGTTTTGTTTTGTTTTGTTTTGTTTTTGCTACCAGGGATCGAACTCTGGACCATGCACTTTCGAGGCAGGTGCCGGAACCACTGGACTAAATCCGCAGCCCAAGGTCAGGAGTTTTTAAACGTTAATGAGCATCAAACCACCTAGAAAGCTAATAAACTTGCGGATTTCCAGGCTCTGCCCAGAGATTTTGCATCAGCAAGTCTAGGGTGAGGCCTGAGAATCTTCATTTCTAACAAGCTCCCAAGATACTGCTGCTGGTCTATGGATCATACTTTGAATAGCAATGCAGGGCAGGAGAAAGAGTGGGAGTATCCTAGAGGTGACAGGTCTGGAGGGAGGATCCAGAGGTCTGGATGCCAACAAGGGGTCCATGGAGGCAAGGAGAGATTTGGAGAGGATCCCTGGCCCTGCTGTGGCTCTGGGGAGTTGGCAGCATTTCTTCCACATCTGGCTCAGGTCCACCTGCGCGTGCACAGTGGGGAGCGGCCGTTCCAGTGTGCCCTGTGCCAGAAGAGCTTCACCCAGTTCGCCCACCTTCAGAAGCACCACTTGGTGCACACTGGGGAGCGGCCCCACAAGTGCCGGGTGAGACCCTCCTCCACTCCCTGTCTCCTGCAGCCTGGGGAGGAGCTGTAAGCCCCTGGGGAGATGGCACCTAAGCATCCCATCCATGCCCTCTGATCAAGTGGAGACCACAAAAGAAAGACAGGGTAGATCTAGGAATGGGAGTTGGAAGGTGAACGTAACCTCTCTCGGGTTGGGATGAGTGATATTGGAAGAGGGGCTAGAGATGTATGTTTGTGGAGGGACAGTATTGAAGTTTGGGGTCCTGGAGAATGCAAACCTATTACTCAGCTCCCAGGGTTGTGGGACAAGTTAGGGCCAGAGTGTATACAGAGTATCCAAGTAGGAAAATCATTAGATCAATGTAGATCCCTCCTTCGAGCCTGACCCTGTCCCTTGAGAGGTCAGAGGGCAGGGGTTCTCTCAGTGTAGTAGTTAGGAGTCAAGACTACTGAGTCAGGCTACCTGTGTTCCAATCCTAGCTATGCTCCAACTTGCTATGTGATCTCTGGTGGGTAGCTTCATTCTGAGCAGAGGCTCAGGGGAACTCCTGGGGAAGTCCGTGAGATTAATTCCTGGCATGTTCAGCCCCCAGTAAATGTTTATTGCATCTACTGATGCTGCAGCCTCACATATGTGTTCTATGTGATTATCTCATTCAGTCCACCCCAATGTGTGAGGTTTGGAAGTAATAGTCACATGTTACTGATAAGAAGAGGAAGGCTCAGAGAGAACTCTCTTATACAAGATCACACAGGGAGTAAAAGAAGGGCACTGACCCATGTCTGCTTAGCTTTCATGTGACAGATACTGTGGGTCCCAGGAAGAAATCACCAGGAAAAGCTTCCTGGCCTACACTAAGAGGGAGGTGGGTAGGGGATGCTTCCAAAATGGGGTTGGGGAAAGTCAGCCTAAGCCAGCCAGGAGGACACAGCTGATGCTAGTGCCCATTCTTGTCAGACGTGCCAGAAGTGCTTCAGCAGTTCCAGCAACCTCAAGACTCACCTGTGCCTGCACGTCCAGTGCAGTGTCTGCCCAAATCACTTCACCCAGCTTGTCCATTGGAAGCTGCACCAACAGCTCCACACTCCACAACCCGGCGGCCTGGCTCACCCCCACCTGCCCCTGGGCTCTCTTCCCTGCCTTGCCCAATGGCACCAGCGAGCATTGGATCTTGTTGCGGAGCCCTCAGAGAAACAGATGGGTTGGGACATGGACAGGGTCAAGGTGTCCTTGGTATCCCAGGGAAAGCCAGGGCAGCCAGCCTGAGCCAACACTGCTCAGAGGAGAGGGCAAGGGCAGAGCAATTAAAGGATTTTCAAAATGATGAGTTGAGGCTTCCTGTGCTTCCACAGTGAAGGGGTCACCGTGTAATTGCCAGACCTCACACTTTACCTGAGAGCAGGTCAGAGGACACAGCCAGGGAGAGCCTGTGCGTGGGGTGGGTACCTACAGCCATCTACTTAAGGATGGGTTTGGTTTCTGCTCCCTGTGACCAATCTGAAACCAAACCCTCCATTTTAACTCACCAGTTGACAGTCCAGCCCTTCAAGACTCTGCTAGGTGCAGGCTGTGCTGCCCACCACAGGGTGCTTTGCCCTCTTTTCTGAACAGCTTTCCTAAGACCTGTCCAGATGTCCAACTGCTGCTTCCCACCACCTCTGGTCACAGTCCCTACTCAGCCACCCGAGCCCTCAGTTGATCCATCCTGCCAGTCAGGTGTGGTGTGCTCCTCCTCGTGAAGGTAGCAAAAAAGGGGACATAAGAAGTCACCTCCCACTCATGACCCATAAGCACGGTGACGCCTGTATGCCAGGACTGATTACCACAGAGCGCAAAGGCTAACGGGGTGCTTAGTTCAGGGAATGGTGGCAGCCTACAGGATTGGGTCTCTCCTGAGGCCTATCTTCCTATGGACCCAGGAGATCTCCTTAAAAGTTCAAGGTCCCCTGCAAGTCTGAAAGCGTTAGGTGGGACATAGCACTGACGGAAGCCAGGAGGCCGAGGTTATAAACACAATAAATGAAGGCGGCTATTGAAGACTAATTTTCAGTAAGCGTGGGCTTCCCCCACCAACTTCCGGCAGGGGGCACCGGTCACCGCTGCGTGGGTGGCTGCTGCTTCCCAGCCGCGGTGCGGAGCGAGATTCCTGCTCTGGGACGCTGGTGGCTCCAGGACAGGAGAAGCCTTCCAGGGAGACCACCACTGCGGGGCACCGGCAGCGTGGGCTTCGGCTCCACCACCAACAGAGCTTCCAAACCCACACTAATCACCTCTGTGGCCCCGAGCCGAAGCCCCATCTCGGGTTAGGCCTAGCCCAGTAGGCAAGATAACGCCCGCTCCCTCGCTAGCCCCGCCCCGCTCCGCCCCGCTCCGCCCCGCTCCGCCCCGCTCCGCCCCGCTCCGCCCCGCTCCGCCCCGCTCGGGGGAGCCGCTTCTCAGCCGCGCCTGCCAGGCCCCCGCTTGCCGGGTTCCGCTCTTTTCGCACCCCGCCTCCCGCAGGGCCAGCTGTCCCGGTGCGCGCACCGGATCGGCCCCTGTCGCCTCCAGAGGCCTGAAGAAGCAGCCCGGACGGAACCGAGAGCAGGGACCGGAGTGGGAATAGGGCTCGGGCGGAGTGTCCGGGAGCTGCAGAACCCGAGCGCACCCCGGCTCGGGGTACTGGCAGGATCTAGGTCCCGTCCTGGCCACCACTCCTGCGGGCGGGGCCGCTGTTTGCTCAGGGTGGGTGGGGCGGGCGGGAGGAGGCGTTCTCCATAGATGCAGCGGATCCGGGTGGCCCCCCGAAGTAAGGTGTCCAGACGCCCAAGCCAGAGGCCTTACCTTCGCCATGACCGAGCAGCGTGGGGGACTGGGGGCCCGCCTGGCCTGCCTGCTGGCTCGACTAGGGGCCCGGAGGGAGCGCAGGGGGAAGGAGACCTCAGAGGAGGCCAGACCCCGGGATAGGTGAGGGGAGCTGCAGAAAGGCCGGGTGGGGGTGGCCCAGGGCTAGAAGGTGTCTGTCTGTCCATGTGTATTTATTAAGAGTTTTGTAAGTGCTCAAATCAGCATGCATGGGTGTCTCAGCATAAAAATGTGTGTGTCCATGTACCACGATTGTGGAACATCCCTGCTTTCTAGTAAAACCTCAAAAATACTTTGATGATTTCATGATTTCCTCCCTAGAGACAGTTTAAAAGCAAACGTGGCGGTTCTTCCTGCCTCTGTGGACTTTGATTTCACATCACAGGTCAATGTTTTTCTGGTCTTTATGTCCTGTTCTCATGAGTCCACCAGATTCCAAGGTGCTTTGTAGGACAGCATTGCATTTGTCCTCACCCAGAGACAGCTCTAGACTGGAATAACAATAAACCTGTATTTACTATTTGGTTTCATGCTTTGGGTGGATTGGTTCATGTAATCCTCACGGCAGCCCTCTTGAGGTATTGCGTGTGATTCACATCCAGAAATGGAGGCTCAGAGAGTTGAAGTCACCTGCCTGCAGTCACAGTCGGAAGTGGTGGAGCCCGGGTGCATTCATAAGTGGTCTTGACTGCAGAGCTCGCATCTTGGAGCTCTGCTGCCTTGGGAACTTGCCAGACTCCAAGCCAGGGGAGCCCCAGCTCCTAACCCTGGTGCCACTAGCCTGGTGAATTTGAGCAAGTTGCTTCACCTTGGGCTTTCCTGGTAGCTGGTGTCTGAGTGAGAATGAAAATCTAAGAGGGCCCAATAGCTCACAGGCCCTCTGTTGGCAGAGTGTGGTGTGTGTTCTCAGCCATGGTGTGTTTGTGTGTCTATGCAGTTACCCAGCAATTTGTTCTGATCTTATCGCACACAGCTGACTTCAGCCTACCCAGGAGGGGTGAGGCGAAGTGGGGGCAGATGAAAGGAGGGGTTTGTGCTGCTCTCCCACCCTAGAGAGGGGAGGGTCTGGCCTGGAAGCTGACGGCCCCCGGGTACCCACACCTTACCAGTGCCCTACCCACCCTATCCTGGAAGACACACCCTCTCCCTTTTCCCTGTCAGGCGGAAACCAGCCCTATAGGCCTGGGCGGTCTAACCCCTCTGTACCCCCATTTTCAGAGGGGGAAGGCTGGGGGTGAAGGTGAGTGAGGAGTGAGGGAGGTGGGGAGGGGCTGAGGTGGTGACACTAGCCATGTGTGCACTAGGACTCAGTTCCTGTTGGCCATGGAAATGGGATCCCCACCTAAGGCACAGGTCTGTAATCCCCACTGATTGCCCAGGGTGGGGGCAGGGACAAGGCACTTCTTCATCTTGCTCTCATTAGTGCAGTAATAGCCAACTGACCTTTGATTGAGACAGTCCTTGTAGCCTAACTCCAAAGCTCACTATCTGTGTGACTCCAAGCCAGTCACTTTGGCCCTCAGTTTCCTTATCTGAAAAATGAAGGCACTAACACCCACTTGCTAGGAATATTGTGAGGCTTAGTGGTGACCATGGAGGCGCCAAACCTAGTGCTCAGCCAGGCACTCAGGATGGGCTCAGAAAATGTGGACCTTTGGAGCCACCAAAGCACTGTCTTCTGTGTTCCAGGCCTGATTCCGGCCTGGTCCCTCCCACCCCCACCTCCACCCCGTCCTTTTTTTTTGTTGTTGTTGTTTTTTGAGACAGGATATCACTATGAAGTTCAGGCTGGCCTTGCTCACAACAGCCTTCCTGCCTCCGCCTCCTGAGTGCTGGGATTACCAGCATGTGGCACCATGGCTGTCCTGGTCCCCATTTTGATGTCGGTCCATCCCTGTCCCTTTCTCTGGCTCCAGGGGTGGGGTAGCCAGCTGGGGGAGGGAGAAGAAGAGGCTGATACATAGGCCTTCCCCAAAGGTTTGAGGGGTTCCTGCTGCTGGACTGAGGGCCCTGAGAAAAGGTTGGGGAAAGGGCTACTGGGCCCAGTCTGAGGTGATGGCGTGGGGACAGGAAGAGACTACTCCATTCCCTTCCTCTATGCTTTCTTCCCAGGCCCTGGAGTGGCCAGAGCTGCCCTGACTTGGCCCAGGGCCAGGGCAGCACCGGTGATGCCAGACTCAAGGTAGGAAAAAACCTGAAGTAGAGGGAGTAAAGGGGGCAGAAGCTCAGGGAGGGCTGGGCACCCTGACATTACAGACAACTGGAATTTCAATCCTCCCTGTGCTGCTGATTCACTGTGTGACCCTGGGAAGATCCCTCCCCACTTTTGAACCTTGGTGTTCTCATCTGGAAAATGGGCACAATAATGCCTTTTTGAGGGCTGTGGAGAGAATCCAGCATGGGGCCTGGTGCTCAGGAAACATGCTTGTCCTAATGCTGGGGTCCTTAGGAGAGGCATGCAGGGGAAGGGCCTGCTCCCCCAACCCCCTCCATCCACCATCTTGACCTCTGCTCATCTTGGCCTCCTTTTCCTCACTTCCTGGCAGGGACTCCCAGAAGTGACACTGAGCCTGTGATTTAACCTTCTTGCCACAGTTCCCCTTCTGCAGTGGGGACCTGAATTGGCAGTGACAAGTATTCTCCTTAGAGGAACTGAGGGCAACCTTCTCTGGAGGTGGCTGAAGCAGCCATATGGCTCTCTTTGGTCCCAAATATCATGAGTAATGACCACAGTTTAATTGACTACTCATTATGTATGGGTTCTCTGTGTGGATTTTCTCACACAATCTGCACAGCACTTCCGTGAGGCAGGTACTGTTATTATACCCATTCTACACTTGGTGAAACTGAGATGCAAATGGTATTGCAGCCAGCAAGTAGCAGCACTGAGATTCAGGCCCAGGTCACCTCTATTCAGGCCCCCACACCAGTCATTCTGCTCTTTTGTCTCTTGAGGTATCCAACCCCTAGGGAATGAAAGGCTGTGTCTATTTCATAGATGAGTAAATGAAAGCCACTGAGATCAGAGGCCCCTGGGAGGGGGATTTTGACCCCACATTTGACTCCTCTGTTACCAAGGACACAAGTCTATCTGGGAAAACTGGTAGTTTGGGGGTCAGTGTCCATGTGGGTCTGGGATGCTGAGGCCTCTGCCCTCATTCCCACAGCCCAGGGAAGAGGGCAGACAGAGATCAGGTGTCCACCCTTCCCAGCTTCTCCCATGGCCCCTTTACCTCTGCCCAGGGTCCTCCTCCCAAGTGTGTTCTGGGAATTTCAGGCTGGCAGGGTACAAAGGAGGTGGCAGCAGGCCCTCAGGTAGCCTGCAGTAGGCAGAGGCCATGGGCATTTGAGGTAGGCATGCCCATGCAGCACTTAATCCCCAGGGCAGTTGGTGCCAAAGAGCCAGAGGCCTGCGGACACCTGGGAAGGCAGCAGTAGGTCTGTGAGGAAGCCGAGGTCATGGCCCTGGGAAGGGACAGACAG